TTAATATTGATATGGATGGATTACACAAAGGTACTGAATGAAAAAAGTTAGAGATCAATGTGATACCACACTATTAATCTGAACTACAGAATCTATGCATAACTAAACAATATGTTGTTTAGATTACACACATATACACCAAAACTATAAAGAAAAGCAAGACAGCGATAAGCACAATGATACAGATAGTGGGAGGAAGAAGGAGAAATTTGGAAATGGACACCACTGTCTTCAATTATATTTATTTGTTTATTTAAGAGAGCATCCTTTTATTTCAGTAATATTTAAATGTTCTATTTCTGAAGCTGGCATGTGGACATGAGTATTTTTGTTACTGGTTGTACCTCATGTACCTTAGATGGACTATTTCATGATGATGTTATTTATTTTTATTTTATTTATTTATTATTATTATTTTTTAATGGAGTCTTAGTCTGTTGCCCAGGCTGGAGCGCAGTGGTGCGATCTTGGCTCACTGCAAGCTCCGCCTCCTGGGTTCACGTCATTCTCCTGCCTCAGCCTCCCGAGTAGCTGGGACTACAGGTGTCCGCCACCACGCCCAGATAATTTTTTGTATTTTTAGTAGAGACGGGGTTTCACCATGTTAGCCAGGATGGTCTAGATGTCCTGACCTAGTGATCCGCCTGCCTCAGCCTCCCAAAGTGCTGGGATTACAAGCGTGAGCCACCGTGCCCAGCCGATAATGTTATTTTTAAAAAATAACGTATTTATTTTTTTCCCTTATGAAGGAGTATTATCACCAGATACATTTTACAGGGCTTAATGTTCTAAGATATTGAAAAGTACTCATATAAACTTGGACCACTAATTTTTTATTTTATTTCAAAGGGCAGACATTAAATGCTATGTACTAAGTTCTAGGTGTCTAACGAATAATAAAAGACAGCCTTTGGTATCCAGAAACTCGTAATTTCGCTTGCAAATAATGAAATATCAATAGATTAAAATAAGCGGTTTAACAAAAGAGTGTGCAGCGTGCTGTGAAAGCACATAAAAGAACAAGGAAGGAAACCAACACTGTTGAACGGCAACTATCAATTAGGCATTTTGCAAAGTGGTTTCATATACTGTACATTTTCCTCTTTCCATCTGTCAGCAACAGCCCTGCGACATCCAACTATCATTGTAATGCCAATAAGATACATAGGCTCAAGGATATGGGACTCTCACACTCTCTGGTGGGTGTGTCAATCACTGCGACAACATTAATTTGTCACGACCAATAATTTGGAAAGTGCAAAATACTCACAAATCAGCCATCCCACTCGTAAGCACTCCCTAGCCCAGAGCAAAACTGAGAAAGTAATTCCACACCAGACCTGGCAGACTCCCCAGTTCCTGCTTCCTATGACCTCCTGTTTCCTCCTCTATCTTAATCACAGACCAACGGTCTAGGAAAGTCCCTTAAAAACCATTTTCTTAACATTCCTGCCTTCAGACATGGAGACCTAACTCTCCTTATCATCTCACTAGATAGATACACACTATTCCAACACCAGGATATTGATTCTTTAGTGCAATTATTTAATCTCCAATAACTGCAATTTGTGCAAAATGGGAGGTCATTTGGTGTTCAGAATTAAATTAAGGGAGAGAACTGGAAGTGTTATTTCCTGTGTCTAATATCTGATTTGGGTGGTCCATGAAGTGAATTACGAGGTAAGCCAAGTTTGTGATGATTACCCTTTTAAAACAGTATTGGCAGTACCTTGACTATCAAATAAGAGTACTGCATTTCATTGGAAATACTTTGCAGATTAAATGATGGATATGCCAACCCATCTTGGCTATCACTGTGTATGGGAGAACTTGCAAATCTCAAGAACACCAGGCAAGAGATTATTTCCCTTCTTGGCAGCACATGGAGGAGTATAGCCTCGTGGCTCAGGATTACAGGCATTTTGAAGAATGTTTGGCCTCTTTTAGAACATTACTTCTAGACTTTGTATCATCCTTAGCTTGATATCTGATTACGGTATATTATGCTGCTAAGGTGATTCCAGTAGTATCACAGCATTATCATAATATTGCATACTGAAAAATTACTCTTTCTTTATACTGGAAAATAGTCTCAAAGCACTGTCTTGCTCAGATGGTTACTACACTTCACCTCAACACTTCAGTTCTACACTTCAGAATTGTTAGCACCGTCTAGTATCCATGCACCAGGGTGAAGCATCTCACAGTGCATCCAAGGGGGTGTTTTCCGCTCACTCTTACATCTCTTTAGATTAAAGTGAAAGGTCTGTTGAGGACAGGTACAGTGGCTCACACCTGTAATCTCAACACTCTGGGTGGCTGAGGCAGGAGGACTACTTGGGGTCAGGAGTTCAAGACCAGCTTGGGCAACATAGCGAGCCTCTGTCTCTACGAAATCTTTTTAAAAATTAACTGGGCATGGTAGCACCCACCTGTGGTTCCAGCTACTCCGGAGGTTGAGGCAGTAGGAATGCTTAAACCCAGGAGATCGGGGCTGCAGTGATCATGCCACTGCACTCCAGCCTGGGCAACAGAGTAAGACCCTGTCTCTAAAAAACATAATAATAATAATAATAATAATAATATGTTTTTAAAGTTCTGGTTCAATTATCCAGGGGTCCGGAAGCAAAACTGACAGCAAGTCCAGACTCAATCCTAATAGGATATTGGGAATTAAGATTGATCGTGATTGACAACCTAATATTAGATAGTATCCCTCACTATCATGACTTCAAAGAACATTCTGTTTTCAGAATCCATATTTCCACTTAGCCCATCATCAGAGGTGTTCTGGTTTGATGATAAAATTTAATTACAACATTTCTAATTGCGCTAATAATTATTTTAGCTGTATGCCATAGTCACTAGTATAGATTAATAATGTAAAAATGCCCAAATTGGGGGGCAGAGATCCAAGTTAAACTCCCAGCATGGGCATTTATAAGCAAGCTTAACTTGGACTAATTATTTCACTTCCATGGAACTTAGAATCCTCATCAAAGATGCTTACTCACAGGGTTCCTCTGAGGATTCGGTGAAGAGACCCCTCATCTCAGATATGTCCTCATATTGTCTGTGTGAGGATGTGATGATGGGATACATTCTCTTGCCCCAAAACAGGCTCATGCACTCTGTTGCCAAATCTGACGGTAGGCAATATATTTGAAAGCAGGATTGTTAGAGAGAAACTGAACCATATGCTCACCCATATGCATGGTAAAAGCACTTTGTAAACTGTAAAGTATGATGGAAGGTAGGGTTATTATTCAGGCATATAGCCAGGGGCTGTGCTTATTCTGCAAAGAGGGCCATAATCTGCTCTGAGCTGACTGGAATGTGCACTTTGAAAGGATATATACATTAGCATCACTGCAGGACAGTCTAGATATGTTAAATATGCTTAGGAGCATTTATGGCCTCATGTTTAGATTTCCCTGGAGACCTTGAAGTATATTGTGAAGTGTCCCAAATACCTATCTTAATGGTAAGGAAATCTGAGCTGAATAAATGGATACAATTGGCCCTATGATATAACCCTGCTTCATTTTTTGCATGCATAAATGGAGTGTGAATCCCTGCCTATTTAGTAGGGTGTCTTGGAGAAATTCAAAGGCAAAGACACGTCTGGCGTCTTGGTAACTCAAACTTTTTAAAACAAATTCAATTTACAGCAGAAAAAAATATGCTAGATGACATTATTCTAGGTAGTTGAGTAAATTAAAAAAAAAAATCAAAATGGTAGCACAGGGGCATGGATGAAGTTGGAAGCCATTACCCTCAACAAACTAAGGCAGAAACAGAAAGCCAAACACTGCATGTTCTCACTTATAAGTGGAAGCTGAACAATGAGAACACATGGACACAGGGAGGGGAACGACACACACTGGGGCCTGTCTGGGGATGGCGAGGCAGGGAGAGAGCATCATCAGGAAAAATAGTTAATGCATGCAGGGCTTAATACCTAGGTGATGGGTTGATAGGTGCAGCAAACCACCATGGCACATGTTTACCTATGTAACAAACCTGCACATCCTACACATGTACTTTGGAACTTAAAATTAAATTAAATTAAATTAAATTAAAATTTAAAAATGGTGGGGGGGATCAGAAAACAAAAAGTAAAACAAAATAAAAATCGTAACTTTTACCATGAAAATATAATTTAACAAGCAAAGCATCATCTTAAATAATTTCCACAAGAAAGTTGATTCAAGAGAAGGAATCAATTTAACGCCTTAACAAATAACTAGTAAATGAAGATGCTTATGAAAGAATCATTGATTATGGTTAAAAATGGAATCAAGACAACTGACTGACACTGAGTATTATTTAATAAAATATTCATAATGTCAGATGATTTTAAGCTTCCCTTTAATCTTAGATATCATCCTATTTAGTCAAAGAGAGAAAAGGGTGATATATTTTGACAGACTGAGTGTTTACCAGGGAAGAGTGAATTAACCTGAAAAACTGTTTTCAGCAGCACAAAAATATTGTCTGGAAAGTTTATGTCCCTATAATTCCCTTTATTAGGAAGATTTTCAAGCAAGTTGAGAACTCTTTTAGAACATTTAAAAAATTATGTTTAATACTTTAGGTGTATGAATTTTATTTCCCTACAATATCTGAATGAGTAAAACATAATGTGCTAAAATTAAACATTTATCTTATGGTAGGATTATATGTGATGGTGATTTTACCTTGTTTTCTAAAAGATTTCTTTAATTTTGTGTATTTTTTTTATATAGTACTAAAAAGAAAAGCCACTGGCTCTTTGCAGTACTTCATGTATTGGGCTTGCTTCACCTGCACGTAATCTCAAGTGTTAACCTCTTTTTCACATCAGATAGCCATGTATTGATACAGAAAATAAATAAAACAGAGCTAGACCACAAGACACTTTGAAGCCATGCCAAAAGACCCTTAATTTCTAACCTACGGCAAATAAACTGCAAGACACAATTACAGGACAAAAATCAATTGCTTGTGGCATAGGTCATTGTACGGACCTTCATACACCTTCTTACCTTCCTAATGTCCCAGATGTTTGGTAGACATGCATGCCTCCACCATCTCAAGCTAACAAGCCACATGCCCAAGTCTTCAGCATCTCCCATCACTTCCAAACTTGGTTGAAGCTTCAGGCCCCAGTAGGTGCTGAAGGGGCCCAGGTGAAGCCATATGGATGTCCAGGAATGTCAACTCTCTATGGGGCAACAGAGGCTAAGAGGATACAGGAGACAGGAGTGAATGAGTAGATGAAGTCCTCTCTCATCCTGCTCCAAAGCACAGAAAGCATGGATGCGCCATATTGTTGACAATGAGACATCCTGTGCCTTCAACCTCCAGCTCCGTCTCTGGTGGTTCAGAGTGAAACACGGGCAGTGCACATCATTCTGTCTCCTTCCCATCTTTCGCTGCCTCTGTGCCTTTTAGGTCCTCTCTCCATGGCTTTGGGATTACTGCTTCCAGCAAAGCACCAGCCAGCACTTTGCCTAAGGTTTGTTTCTGGAGAAAATTGGCTAAGATCCCCTAACTTAATCTTAACATTAATCCACCCGAGCTCTAACCTTAACCCTACCCTACCCTAAACCAAACCCCAGCCCTAGCCCTAGCCCTAGCTTTAGTCTTAGCCTTGGGCTAAGATCCTTGTTTTGTTTGTTTGTTTGTTTGTCTTTGTTTTCATGGCAATTACACACCATCTATGAAAAGACCAGAGTCCACCTTGAGATAATCAGATGACACTCTGCAGATTTGGCCTCAAAGTCTGGCCCTGAAGATCTCTTAGATGGGCCGTGTATACCTTCAAATACCACATTTTTGTTTACACTCACATCCATACATGCTAAGTTTTTGCTATTTTATTGTGCATGTCTGGAAACTGACATTGAGTATGTTTCTCAACCAAGCAAACATAGCAGGATGCAGTCCTCCATCTCCTTACTCTTCATGTCATGTTCTTCTAATGGTTTTGATCTCTCAACTGGAGATCAATGAGGAAAAACTAATAAATTCCACAAACAATGACCTGCATATTAAGAAATTAAATTGAGGTGCCATCAAGGTAGATTAACCAAGATTTGTGGATGGGACTCAATATTTGCTTTAAAATATGTGAAGTATCGCAGCCTCAGTCTTATTGTTTAACAATTCATTTTGTTATCCTACGTATGTTTAAAGGAATTGTGATACTTGAACATATCCAATAGAAGACTAAAATATACCAAAGTAATTAGTGAACTGGACAGAAAGCTGCCTTATAACATCTCATTTATTACTGCGCAGCTCAATATGGTAGCCACTAACCACAACCAAATTGAGCATCTGAAATGTGGACTGTCTGAACTAAGATGTGCTTTAAGTACAGAATGCACGGCACAGTCTGAAGACTTTATATTTAAAAAGTATAGAAAATACCTTTTTAATAATAGTATGTTGATTGCATGCTGAAATAATGTTTTGGATATATTGGGCTTAGTAAAATATATTATTAAAATGAAGATGGCCCCTGATTTTTCCTACATTTTAAAAATGTAGCTATTAGAAATTTTAAAATTATTTATGGATTTAGCTCTCAATATTGTTCTATAGACTATACTGCTTTACTGCTGGCATTCTACTTCCTGTCTCATGTTCTCATTTACCTAATTTTATGTCTCTAATAAGCCACTTGCATTTGAACACTGGTTTCCATGTACACATATAGGGAAGCCAAACAGAGGCAAATAATAAAATCCCCCTACAGTTGGAATAACAATTTATGTTTTTACTTTCAAGTAATACACAGTAGGTATAAAAAAACTGTTTCTCCAAAAACAGTGTGTATGTGTGTGTGTTCAATGATAAAAATATAGTCAAAAGTAACATTTTCAATTGGTGAAGTTTTTTAATACTTCCAATAAAATTGCAACCATTTACATTGTTGGAAGATTTTAAAAAACAGGTGAGTGCTATAATCCTCAGAATCACACACTGTAAGATAGAAACTAGCAAGCAGTTCTCCAGAAAGAATTGACTCTCACATGGCCTTACAGACTTCAATTACATACCCAGAAGAGTTAGTTGGCTCTAACAGGAATTAAATAATGAAAGTGTTTTCCAAAGACATATGTGAGATCCTTGTGGGTGTCTCATAATTGTTTCTGAATATATGAAGTGTCACAGCCTCAGTCTCATTATGTAGCATTTTGTATTGTTTGCTATGAACGATGAAAGAAATGGTGGCATATATATGTAAAGTCAGATCTCTTTTACTCTAAATGTCATATTTTTAAATAATTTTGCACAGGATGCCCTTCATTGGCCTTTAGACATAGGACTTAAGTGGCAAATGCCTTTATTTTAAAGTTCTGGGCCTACAGAAAACAGTGGACTAATTACTGACGTTGATGCTGGTAACTAATTTCCAAGCCTTTATGGGTTCTAGAGAGTCTGTCAATATCGCCGTAACCCTGATCCTTTGTTGAAATTCACCCAGCTGTTTAGACAAGTTTATGGCTTGAGAACCTTTTAGTAAAATGTGTTTTTATTGGTTGTTTTCTTTCTTTTACAAACCCGATTACTGGACCCAGAAACCTAGACTCAATATGCCAAGCATCACGAGCAAGCCTCCAGCCTCAACCCTTGAACTCTTTATTCTTAATTGTGGTAATAAAACACACATGCAAAATGAAATTTACTATCTTCATTTTAAGTGCACTGTTCAGTAATGTTGACTATATGCATATTGTTGAGCAACAGATCTCCAGAACTTTTTCATCTTGCAAAACTAAAGCTGTGTAGGCATTGAACAAAAATTATCCATTTTCCCTCCCACCAGCCCCTGGCAACCATCATTCTACTTTCTGTTTCTATGAGTTTGATCACTTTAGATACCTCATATAAGTGGAAGCATACAGTATTTGTGTTTACATGACTGGCTTCATTCACTTAGCTTCATTTCCTCAAGGTTCATTCATATCATAGCATGTGACAGGATTTATTTTTTTAAAGACTGAATAACATTCCATTGTATGTATCCACCACATTATCCATTCATCCATCAATGGTTCTTCCATTTCTTGGCTATTGTGAATAATGCTGCAATAAACATGAGTGTGCATATATCTTTTCGATATTCAGGTTTCAATTCTTTTACATGTCACCTAGAAGTGGGATTGCTGGATCATATAGTAGTTCTATTTTTAATTTTTTTGAGGAATCTCCATTTTGTTTTCCACAAGGAAGGACTGCACCCTTTTCCATTTTCACCAACAGTACACAAGGGTTCCAATTTCTCAATAGCCTCACCAACACTTGTTATTTTCTTGTTATTTAATACCAGACATCCTAATGGATGTGAGTTGATATCTCATTGTAGTTTTGATTTGCATTTCCCTAGTGATTAGTGATGTTGACCAGCTTTTCATATGCTCGTTGGTCATTTATATAGGTTTGTTTTGGAGAAATGTCTATTCAAGTCTTTTGCCCATTTATTAATCAGTTTTTTTGTTTTATTTTGTTATTGTTTTGGGATTGTAGAAACTCTTTATGTAGTCTAGATATTAACCTGTTTCAGACACATGATTTGCAAATTTTTTCCCATCCTGCAGGTTGCCTTTCCACTCTGTTAATTGTTTCCTTTCATGTGTAGAAATTTTTTAAGTTTAATGTAGTCTCTCCTATCAATTTGTGGGGTTTTTTTGACTGGGCTTTGGTATCATGTCTAAGAAATCATTGTCAAGACCAATATTATGAAGCTTTTGCTCTGTGTTTTCCTCTAGGACTTTTATAATTTTAGATATTGTTTAGGTTTGAACCTGTTTTGAATTAATTTTTGTATATAGCATAAAGTAAAAGCTCAACTTTATTCTTTTGCATGTGGATATCTAGTTTCCCCAGTATTGTTTGTTGAAGAGACTGTCCTTTTCCCATTGAGTAGTGCTGGCATCCTTGTGAAAGATCATTTGAACACATACACGAGGATTTATTTCTCATGTGTCTCTAGTATTCCATCCCACTGGTCTACATGCCTGTCTTTATGCCTGTACCACACTGTTTTGATTACTGTAGTTTTGTAATAAGCTTGGAAATTAGGAAGTGTGCAATCACCAAATTTGTTCTTTTTCAAGAATCTTTTGGCTATTTGGAGTCCCTTCTGACTCCATGTAAATTGCAGGCTTTTTTATATTTCTGCAAAAAAAAATGCCTTGGCATTTTGATAGGGATTTCATTTAATCTGTGGATCTCTTTCTGTAGTATGGACATTTTAACAATGTTATCTTTCAATCTATGAACACAGGATGTCTTCCTATTCATTTTCATCTTCTTTTATTTCTTTCAGCAATGTTTTATATTTTCAGTATATAAATCTTTCACCTCTTTGGTTAAGTTTCTTCCTAAGTATTTTATTCTTCTTGATGTTATTGCAAATGAGTTTGTTAATTTCCTTTTGTTGATAGATCATTGTCAGTGTACAGATATGCAACTGATTTTTGTGTGTTGATTTTGTCTCCTGCAACTTTGTTAGTTCTAACAGTTTTTTATGTGGAATCTTTAGGGCTTTTTACACGTAAAAATCAACATTGGCATTTTTGATCTCTAATTTTTGTATTACTGAAGTTGTCCCTGTGGTCTCATAAGTGACACTATTTCTGCTTTGCAGAGCCCTGCAAAGACATCTGGATAATTGATTCATTATTTTAAAAATCACAGCAACAGGCTAAATGAGATTAGCACAAGCTCAAGCTGTTTGATGACTGAGGCTTCAAGCCTATCACTGGGACATTTCAATAAGGAAGTAGAGCAAAGAGAACTGCTTCTGCTGGTGTGCCTGGCAGACTCTCCTCCAGTTGGCAATGATGGGCTCTTATTCACGACCAGGATAAGAAACATAAAATGTATTCAGAAGGTACCACAGGGAAAAGGGAAGGCAAAAACACTCTTGTGTCTTTGGCAGTCTCATCTATTCTACCAGTCTCTAGTTAAAATGAGCCAATTTTCTTCTAGCACTGGCTACTTATAGCTTGGTTATTTCTAGTACTGTCATGGATTTTTTTTAAACCTGCAGTGTGGATGAAATGCACGAACATGTGTTCAGATCTTCAGAAAGCATCTCCTGCCCCCATGCAAATGTAAGTTGCCATCGGAACCATTACACTAAAATTCCAAGGTGCTAAAATATTACAAGTTCCACTTGCCGATACCATAGGCTAGGAGATTAACATAAAGATAATATCCCCAGC